ATATTTCACATTCATTTGATATGGAATACAGCTTCAGTGGTAGCCAAAACATTATTTGGAAATACCATCTTTTGTTTAATAAGCAATTGCAGCCATTTCTTCCATGTTTGTGGGAAAAAGTATTGATTTTTATGATGCTTATGAAATTTATATTTAGATAATGTAAAGATCATATATGAGTTCCAGCCCTAAAAGATAGTAGTATTTTGTCATCATGCTAATTAGGTACAGATGCAGATTTCATTTAAGACTGTCTGTATTAAAGACAGTTATGGGACAAAATTGTGACTAAATGTTCAGGGCCAATAAATAAATTTGATACAGTCAACCAGCACCTCCATACATCACAAACTTTCTTCTTTCTTATAACAAAAAGTAAGCTGGTGTATTATCAGATTTACTAAGCAAGTAACTAAAGCTTGGAAGCACTTTTATGTCATACAAAATTTTCTCCAATAATATCACGCAGTAACGTCAAATAACACTTGGCAAAAGTTATTAATACTTCATACACATGTATGTATGTACATGTGTGTGTGTGTGTGTGTGTGTGTGTGTGTGTGTGTGTGTGTGTGTGTGTGTGTGTGTGTGTGTGTGTGTGTGTGTGTGTGTGTGTGTGTGTGTGTGTGTGTGTGTGTGTGTGTGTGTGTGTGTGTAAAGATGTGTACACACATGTATGCATGCATTTTACCTTTATACATGCATACATACATAAATAAATGATAAATTAAACAGGAAAATCTTTAATTTTCTTACTGTCTGACAATTCTTCATCATTTTTGTGTAGCCAGAAGATCAAATCAGTCTAATATTTGTTCTATGCCAGAACTACCTTAACTAAATGTATGAATACAATAATATTGATAAATTAATGCTGCTAGGGTCAGTACAGATTTGCTTATCTTGCAATCTTGGTGCATAAAATGTTGCAGTCATACAATTTGAGCACTTCCAGGTATTGGATATAACTCCTCATACAGCAGAACACATAAATATTGCCATGAAAGGGTGGTAACTATTTTCATTTTCACACAGAAACTTATATATCCTGTACAAGTACATGATCTATAAGTATGAAATGAGAACGACACAAAATTAATCAGTTCATGAACTTCAGAATTTTCCTTCAAGCAGGACTGTTTTCACTTCTTTTAAATGCACTTTCAGTGAACTTTTTCTGTCTAATTAAGCTTTCTTTGAACCCTGAATTATACTGAATGTTCAATAAGAAAGGCTTAGGATATTTTCAAGTAAGACAGATTGAGTATTCACTTCTTAAATTTTTATCTTATTCCCATATCAGAATATTCACACTGACTTTTGCTATGCTATTTGAGTGGTAAGGCTTGTTTCATATATATTTCAAATTTAATTACTTAAACTGACTTTTCTTATAGTCAAACTCAACAACTCTCCACAGCTCTAAAGAGACTTATTATGTTAGAATGCTTGGGCCATCCAAATCAACAAAGCCTCGGCGTCATTCTGTAACTTGATAGGGCACGGAAGTATGACGTTTCCACAATAAGAATCCTACAAAAATGCCCATACACGTACCAAGAATAGCCATGGAAAATCCTAGGCCAGCCATACTGCCAGCAGTGTAACCTGCCTTAAGATACCGCAAGGATCGATGTCGCATGTGTGGATGGAGAGCCTCTGTTGTTGTCTCCAGTGATCCTCGCTTGATGGTGACGAACTGACAAAATAAAAAATAAAATATTAGTACATCATCACTTAACAAAACATAGTATTTTTCCTCAGGGACAAGGCAGCATTGGGCACAAAAAATAAACATTTTTACTTACAAGCTTTTTCTTGGGAGAAAGATCAAGCTTGACGGAGACATTGTGTTTATGAGTAATATCATGAAGAAGCTTGTATGCATCAGCCATCATGAGTTGAGGTCGGGGTGTAAGAACAGGCCCAGTTACATCGGGTTTCTCTAGTAGCACAAACCATACATCCACCTCACCTGTTGCTTGACGACTACTTAGCTGTTGAAAGAGATATGGAAAGCATTATATTTAGTATATATATACACTCACAAAAGCAGACACTAAACTTTCACTTGCATAAAAGGTAATTACTTAAATGAGTAAAGTGTCAACTACATAATTAAGGATAAAATATTTCAAGGTTTTATATCGTAATCCAACCTAATACATGAGAGTAAATTTAAATTTCACTTATAATAATTAATGGAAACCATTTTTTTTTTTATCCCTTTGTTTCCTTTTATATATCAAGAGCCAATATCAAAATAAATATGAAAAAGGTATACAATACAGTCATAACCTTTTGTGAAATGAAATCTGACAAAAACTTTGCAAAGTTATCTGCAATTACTATCTTAACTGACAAGAAACCAGAGCACTTTTCTAAACCATCTTAACTGCCAATGGCAATATATATATATTTTCTGACTGTTTATTACAAGTAGCTACTATATTTTTTCCAAATAATGATATCTTCCTGGGATGCATTCACATATTCAGAAAGACTAATTTGTTTAGAAAAATATATATATATTTTTTGTTAGGGCCCACGTTCGTGTGGATTAATTATTATGAAGAAAAGAGAGTACTAGTTACTTATTATGTGATCAAATTGTATTCACTGTTTTAAAAAATGAAACAAGAATATATAAATTAATGGAGGGAACAGTGAAAGACCTGGGTTTAAAGTTGTTATACAATTAACACCTGGAAATTTAAGTATCCTCAAAAGTTTCTCATTATGCAAAAGGATATGATTTTAAAACATATCTGCTCTGGGATGCTGCTGTTCTAATGTAATATAGAATGCATATATGTACAGAAAGAATAATTACCCTTTAATTTTTTTTCTTATAACTTTTCAGCTACCTTCACATTTTTGACATCACTCTATGTGGATTATTCTTAACAAAAAAAATTATTAATTTCCACTCAGTGCAACTGCTTTAGTTGCTGTTACCACAATTTTGGTATGACCTTATTTCAACCTCCATTCAACTGATATTACATCAAAAGCAAGACCTCGTGTAGCAATAAAATCAATTAGATTAATGTCATCTCTTAAAGCTTCTATATCAATCTTTTTATGTCCCTTTGGAGTTTTTACATATTACTTGATTTTAATATATATTTGCAGGATGAATATTCAAGTGAGACATTGAGGTACTCTTTAGCAGATTGTTAATCATAGTTCATAAGTACAATGTTAACCATTTCACATACCATATTTTGCAGTGTATTTTGCACTTTTTTTCTCTTTCAAAATCTGACCCTGAGTATTGGTTATTGTCTTTTAAAATGATGAATGCTAGCAGCCCAAGTTCAGGAGTTTCCCTTTTTTAACAATCCTGGCTTTCAAATGAATCTATGTTATACAATATTATAAGAATAATTCCACTGACAAAAAAATAAATACGGAATAATTAGTAAATTACTGTGGTAGCTCTTCCATTTACAAGCCCTGCATTTACACCAATACCCAAATCACATTTTGAATCAGCATGCCACAGTCTCTTATGAAGCAAAATAACCCTTCCCTAAATTATGTAATCCTTTAGATAATGAAATGGTTTTTAGTGATTGTTGCTTACGCTGTAAACGTTCTGGCAGCCAATTTAGTTTCAGTAGTCCCAAGCAGGTCTGACAACAACATATATATATATATATATATATATATATATATATATATATATATATATATATATATATATAAAAGTAATATTTATTAGCATTGCTGATACTAAAGAATAAGGGTCAAATTTATGGCCCATAGGCCATATGTGGCCCTTGGTATGGTCATAAACAGCCCATGGGGTGATTCTGATTGTCATGAAGGAAAATCAAAATAAAATTACCAATGGGTATGAAGTATCTGTTAGTTTTTACCTTAGTCCCAGAAAACCAGGTACCTAATAGCCCCTCAAGACAGTAACTAAAATAAGAGGAAAATTTGCCTTCAAAGGCTTTTGAGTTGGACAACCATGCTAAAGAGATTAATTGTATTTGAATCATTAAAACAGCAATCAAACATAAAAGTGTAACAATAATCTGAAATTCTCTGATCACCAAAAATGGTCTAGTTTGAGATGAGGGAGTCCAGTGAGGGCCCAGGGCAAGCTTAAAAATAAATCCCCCACTTTTGTATGTCCATACACATTTCATGCTAAATTAGGAATTATCCTACATGTTGGTGTGCCCTCTATGCCAAAAATTGCAGTATAATAAAAAAATGAATCAATCACCAAATAACAACACAAACAAAGCACTCACAAATAGGTCAGTGATGCGAAGCGGTGACACTCCAGCTATTCCAGCAACTGCTCTCCTAATAGAATTCTTTGCTGCTTCAAGATTGTAGTGAACAAGTTCAGAGTAAGAAACCTCAAGACTAAGAATGAGGAAGATGCGATTGATGCGATTAAGGCAGGGAGAAATATCAAAGTGACGCCACGAGGGATGACCGTCGCTGTATTGATAGAAGAAAGTGTGTACAACAGAGGCCCAGTGACTTGGATTGTCCTGATAAAGAAAGTATTGGAGAAAGATTATATACTGATATTACTTATAATTCAAACATAATGACATGACAGAAGTGCAAAAAGAATAACAAAAAAGAAAAAATATATATGAAGACTGCTAAACTGCACAGAAATAAGAAAAGCACATCATATTGAAATATTAATAGCATCATATTTTTTCAAACAAAAGCTATTCAACATCACCTTCATTTTAATTTTTAAATATACTACCCCAAATAACTTTCATATTTTCATTGATCATTTGAGTTGGAGTCTCAAAAAACTGCTGGACACTTACAGCAACAGCAACATAGGATGATATTCCGATGGGCACCTGGTGGACCTTGTTAAATACCTCCACCTCAACAGTCCAGTTCTCATGTGAAAAGTAGATCTCTACAGTTGAGTACTGACCCTTCCGTAAACCTCGCTCTGCCACCCACACATCACAAAGAATCCCCCGCACACGCCTCTGAAATGAAAAATCAGTGTAAGCAATACTTCATCAATGGTGCATAATATGCTTTCTTGAAGTAAAAACAAATCAAGCAATAAATAACATTGTCAAAGAAGTAAATTATATAATCACATATATTTTATATCATTTAGATAGTGGCAAAACTAATTCTGCAATAATTTTTAATTTTTTTACACTCACTGTGCCTTTGTAGATGAACATGTTAGGATCAATTGAAATCAGTTCAGAAGCATGGCGGAGACGAATGTGTTGATTTTCCGCTGGTACAGCATCTAAGGCTGTGAGTGGAATTCCTTGGATGCTACAATTGCTGGTCTTCTCATTGATCATGTACTGAATCCCTGAAAAAAGCATGGAGGAAACTGTAGTACATAATAAAATATCTCTGATTTCCAAATGTAACACATGGCTTACTTAGTGATAAAGACAAACCACAGAAAAGGGCAGGAATCTTCAACATAAAACTGCATATTAAATTACTTTACTTTCACAAAAATGTGATATAAAGGAAATATATCATTCATTCACCTAACCTCTGATACCTCAAAAGAATTTGCTACTTATTAATGTAAAATATATCAGAATATCATATAAATGAAAGATGTTTATAAGTATTTGAATTTCACCTGCTTTTTTATAAAATCTGAAATAATATAGTCTTTAAAATGTTATGTTAAACATTCATCCACGATATTAATTGTAGACAATACATGAAAAAGATGCCTTGTAGAAAGCATTAATAATCCTTTTGGATAAGAAAAATATTAATCATTGGGTAAGAAGGAGTTTGATTTCTTTTATAATCACTGTCATGTTTCTACTGATAAGAAAAGATCAACACAGTGATAACCACAAATATTTTGTCTGACTAAATAATTAATACCCAGGCATCAAACTGCTTTGAAAGACCACTAATGCAGTCAGTTGACCCTTAACATTCACTAAGATTATGCTCCAATACAATCCACAAGCTCCCTTGCTCTTTTTGAGTAGTGAAACTATCATGATAAACTACTGACAGATAGCAGAGGCAGACATCCCTTTGCAAAATTTTGTTTTGCCAATGAGCATTGTGACCTTATGATGCTTAAGAATACTTTAGATAGAAACTGCAGGGCCCACAATTCAATTCTACACAAAGGGTAAAAAGAAGTGAATGTGTTGTAAAAAAAATGCTATACTCTGATGTTCATTAAAAATACCTATTTCTATCATGTATTTAATATATAAACCTATTTTCCAGGACTCTTTGTTGTTATTCATTATTTCATAGTTTTCTTCAGGTATTTCAATATTTTACTTTTCTTTGGTTGTGAATGCTAGGAGCCAACTGTGCTGTAATACTGATTATGCTATCAGTGTACCAGAAGCAAAGTAAAATGATAACACAACTGTAGGAATAAGGGTAGGATATATAAATGTACTTTTACAGTAATCCAGCTGACTTTTGTCCAAATCAAAAAGCATGTTTGGGTGAAAAAAGGAAGCCTGGTGAGGTAGTGGTCTATAGGAGACATGCAAAGTAATATGGTATGCCTGTGAGCTGCAGGGTATACTTTTGGATGTTGATGGATAGTGATGAAAGGTCCATTATCTGTGAAAAATAAAAATGTGCCTCCCAGTGAGAAAACTTGAAAAATATATTCCCAAGTATCTGCTAGGCTAAGTCTTAAAAATAACTCAAAAGACAGCAAAGTACTAAATGATAGGAATCAATGTTAACTAGGGATGAATTCTAGGAATAACACCCATTATAATTTTTTTTAAATCTGAAAGAATACTTAAAAAGAAATATGCCTTATGATGGAACACCTGGAAGACTGTGCCAGTTTTAAGATAAAGTTTGAGATGAAGCAATGTTGCTGACAACTGGATAAAGTGATTTCCTCTGGTGCAATCAGCTAATTTGATAGCCAACTCAACACAGGATTTAGCACCATTAACAAACTCAATCTAAGCTGTCTGGATCAAGCTGTCAAAACAGCTGTCCTAACACCAGACTAGTGCAGCACTTTTCCACACAGCATTCTGAAGTTTGCAAAAGTGATACACTACCAACAAGAGAACTATAGGAGTGATGAGAGAAGGATGTGCTGACTGAGGAAGGCGATGCTGTTGGTCATCCCATGGTGCACTAGGGCAGAACTCACTCCAAAAAGGGAAACATTAAAGACAAGAAGGCAAGACCTGAGTGATGCATATTTCCTAGCTGCCTCCTGCAGTAATGTGCCCTAAAAGCTGGTACAATTTTGCCAAGTACACATTATAGTTTTCCTAAGCTCTATGAATCTTGTGTGTCCTGAGTATCTTTACAATATAACAAACAATAGAAACAGTGTTTCTACTAACTAGAAGACATAATGTATTTGAATGTATTTTTTGCAATCTAGTAATGAGTAACAAATAAAGTTTGCACACATGTGACCAAAATATTATACAGCTCACCTGTTTTAAAGTCGTGGATTACCCTGTATGTTTCAATGGTGATGTCATTGAGACCTCTGAT